AAACGTCGCCATGGCTGAGATATACAAATATGCCAAGAGATATCGCTCCCAGGTAGGCGAGCTTGGCTGTGCTCAGGCCTTAACTATCTGCAAAGGGAATAACAGGAGGTGTTTTGTAACCAAGCAGTTAGATGCCTCACAGAAAAGGGATTTTTTTCTTTGTGTAATCTGCCCATGCACATGTGTAATACATGCACACAGGTGCATCTGTTCTCCCATCCCTTGATTGATAACCGTGTAGAAGCAAAGGCCAGCTCTTCCCAGTTGTTCTTAGCAGTGCTTGGCTGCATAAGTTTGCAGCAGGGCTGGCCAGTGCGTGGACTGCTTGAATCCTCTTACGCTCACAGGAAGCAGAGCACAAGGATGCCTTCCCCAATAACTTACCCTCACTGCTGCCTGCAGTGCAGCCCTGGCTGTGACACAGAACGCAGCTCATTGATTGTGCCCTGCCTCGCAGGGACAGCTCTGTGCGAGGAGGTTCCCTGCAGGGTTTTCTGTTGCATTTTCTCCCTCTGCCTCAATGTGAGAGCAGGGACTCAGCCAACCCCTGCCGCACCTGGAGGGTGCAGGCTGTGTCCCAGTAACAAGACTCACCATCCTGGCTCCAACTGGGATTGAGGCATTATGAGGCAGGTGGGGCTGGCAGACAGGGCTGTGTGCTGCCTGTCCCTTACGTGCCCACCTCTCCTGCAGATCGTGGCCGCCCTGGACTCCAACCCCACGACAAAGCGCACCCAGCTCCAGCACAAGTTTGAGCAAGTGATTGCACTCATGGAGGACAACATCTACGAGTGCTGCAGTGAAGCCTAGGCTGACTGCAGCCTGGGAAGTGACCCTTAGAGTAACTGTTGTAGGGAACTTGCCTTGACCACGGGGACACCTTGGTCCATGTCCATGAGGGTCATTCTCAAACCAGCCCTGTGGCAATGGTGGGCCTTACCTGCAGCCAGAGAGCTCCCTCACGTATCAAGAAGCAACAAGACAGCCTTTGTGCAGCTAGAAAACCATCTGGTCAACACTGTAGCACCCATAACTTACTGCTGTTGCAAGCCAGAAATGGAGGTGTGACATCTGTGGCAAGCTTGGTTCATCACTTCTCAGTAATTCGTTCCTGAGCAGCTGGCTCCCCACATTCCTGTCTGCATTCCTCATGGACAAGAGCAGGCTGCAGAAGCCATAACAAAAAAGCAGCCTCAGGGAGTAACAAGCAGAGATGGCATAGGCCATCAGAGCAACAGCAGCGCGTTCTCCATTCCACACCAGCCCTCTCACACCTGCATTTCTCTGACACCATGGACAATCAGCTGTTCACTATCTGCTGCATTCTGTGTATTTTTGTGCCTTTTAATTTTTGTATTGTATGTGCAAACATAACCACTCCTTCATTTGAGATTTGGGCAACCCAGGGAACTGGGGGTGACTTAAAGCAGTTGCTTCCTATGTAGCAGGGGAATGCTGAAAGCACTTTATCCCCTAACAGCTGCTAGCTGGTTGGAGGGAGTGTATTGCATGTTGGAGTGGGACTGTTCTGCCCTGCCCCAGTTCCCCAGCCTGCATGCAGTGAACTGCAGTGTGCAGTAGCATAGGCAGATGTCCCTTACAACCCACCCTCCAGCCAGACAGGCACAGGCATCGCTTCCACCTGCAATCAGCGAGCTGCTCCTCACTCCTCTCCCCACCCTACTGGCTGCATACACAGCTATGGTGCTGACTTGAGCTCACCTCACCTCTGTCAGTCCTGTGACAGAGCAGACTGAGCCACATGCAGGGCAGAACATCCAGGCATCCTTCCTCCTTCTGTCCCACACTCTCTGGTATCTCACCAGGATCGTCACCTAAAGCAGGCCAGTGCTGGAGAATGCTGCTCTTAAAGCAGCTTGCTTTGCTTGCCTTGAAGCCAGTACACCATAGTTACCACCTGAGAGCAACAAAAATGGTTTTGTGACACGTTCAGTTTGTCAGCCCATAAAGGCAAGCAACGCATCCCCATGGCAGCAAGTTGCTCTCACTCCACAAGTCAGCAGAGCAGGTCAGACATCACAAGGTGCAAACAGAGGTAGGAAACGCCACACTCCACGTAGTGATGTCAGCAAGCAGAGTCCCACTGCAGAGACAAACAGGACTTGTCTGAGGCCCAGGAACTCCACTGCTGTCCTGCAGCATCTGCTGGATGCCACGCTGGGATGGGCCCCATTTTCTCTCTGCTGGCAGCTCCTGTTCCACAGCAAGGGCAGCCATGACTGCTCTGGTCTTCTCCAGCATCACTCAGGCCCCTCTTCAGAGGCTGGACCACACGTCTGAAGCCAGCATTCCCCTGCAGACAAAGGCAACCTGCCCATGAAAGCTAAACCTAGCTGTAGCTGTAGGCACCACATTTCCAAACTGCCAAATATATATTAAAAAGTGACTACCTCACTCCAGGCAGGGTCTCAAGGTGAGCCTCCATTATTCATCCAGCTGGAAAGGATGAAACCTGGTCCACCAAACTCCTCCTGGGTGACTTACTGCCACAGGCAGGTGGTCGCACCCCATCATTTCCAGTAACACATTTGTCAGAAGTTAGAACATCAGAGTTGTGTATGTGTATATAGATATCTATTTTAAAACAAATGATAGACTTTATCCAGTATGTTAAAAGGGGTAGGGAGGGGAGGGAAAGAAAAGAGGATTTGTTTGGGGTTCCGTTGTTGTTTTTTGTTTTTTTTGTTTTCTTTTCTTTTAAAGAGAACTACAGAAGAAGTACATACACTGTAGAAGTTTCAATGTCTTTGCTGAGGATGTGGTTTCAGAATAGAAACTAATGTAGCTGGGCTACATTTTATTTTGAAAGTGATTTCACACAAAAAATAATCTTGACTTTTTTTTTCTTTAGAAACTGTGAATAGTTGCCATAGATATAGACAGGCCCAGCACAGGGAAGGCGACAGTGAGAAGGACCAGGGTAGTAGAGAATGTTGAGCTTGGCTGGAGGTGAGGAAATGGCCATGGAGCAACAGCTCCGTGTCATTACAGGAAAAGGGCACAGGTGAGCCAGTAGTGAGCATGGTTTGACTCCAGGTGATGTGACTGGGCCACGTATTGGGGTCTATTGCTGTCTTATTTAATTTTTTCCAAAGCAGAAATAAAAAGCTACAACCATTCTAAAGAGGTAACTTTAAAAGAGCAAATGCTTGAGGGTTTGTAGTGTTGCCTTGAACCCCGAGCCCTTTGTAACATGTTTTTAAACTTTGGCATGTGTTGTGGGTATAGTGCCCTTACCTGCTGTGTAGTGGAAGTGGCAGACTCTCGGAGAAACCTATCTTTGTAATAAAACAAGGTGCTGAAACCCTGTGCAGTGAACTTCCTGGTACACACAGAGCCTAATACCAAGAGGCCATCTCTTGTCTGAGGCATCTTTCTCTCACACAGGCCATGCAAATCCCTGTGCTCCTCCACCTCAGAAACACGGGGAGGCAGGCAGCCGCCAGCTCCACCACGCAGCAGCGCAGTGCTCAGGGCTGGCAGCTCAGCAAGAACCATCTTCTTTCCCAATGGCACAGGTCTTATGCAATTCACCATTCCTGCCTAGCATGCAGGAAGGTCCCACCACAACAGGATCTGACACAGAAGGTAGAAAAGCCACGAGAGGACCTGAATAAACCACACCAACACACAGCAGGACCAGCATCGCCATGCCTACCCACAGGGCCGGACACCCTCGCACTGCCAGGAACAGTCTTGGGGCCGACCGTGCCTTCACCCAGCAACAGGCAGCCCAGCACCTGCTCTGCCGCAGCACTGAAGGCTTCTGGCCTCAGCAGTGACACCATCCCCAGCCTGCAGGGCTCGATAACCAAGGCATTACTGAAATCCTCCCGCTTCCACCATCTTTCAGTAAAAACTGCTCTTCCTGGACACCACAGGGATCTTCCTGCGTTAAAGCTGATCCTTAGTAAAGCTAAATCCAGTCACTTAATAATATAGCCTCTCAAGAAGCCTTATGCTTTATATTTAGGGCCCGGTGAGAGAGGACACAGCTCCTGCCCTGTTCCACTGCAGGACATCAAGTGTTGGCAAGCAGTCATTTGTGACTGACCACTACTGAAGGTGCAGCTGAGTTCTGCTGGGTTACTGCTGCAGTATCCCTCACCCTGACCCTGAGGAACATGAGTTCAGATTTAAAGATGCATCAACATGGCCAAGGCTGAAGTTTAAAAGTAGTTAGTTTGCTCAGCTCTTGCTTAAGCCGCACAGCAAGGCCAGAAGCCTTGGAGGGCATTGGCAAAGCCAGCTGAAGATTAGTTAAATCCTCTTTAGGAAGAGGGTTTTACTTCCACTTACTTTCTCCCACCCAGGAGGACTGACAACCTTTGCATTATCAGACTGACCTTCAGAAGGGCTCTGTTCTGCACAGGGCAGGAAAAATTCAGGCATTTAAAACTATCATAAAGAAAGCTTTCATACATTGGCTGGCAGAAGCTATCAAGACAGGCTTTGAGGTGGGTACTGTGCACAGTCAGATAACAATAGCATGAGCATTCCTACAGTCTGCTGCAAACACTGAGCTTTTTTTTGAGCCCTAAAGCACTTCTATCTTCCTCTCTAATGTGGGCGGAGCTTAGGCAATTCCAAACACCGTGCTGGACCATGAAAGCACCCATCCCTCCTGCCCTAGCACTGTTGTAATCTGAGCTCAGCCAGGCATTAGCACAAGGGCAGCTGGGAGGGCACAGGGCCAGACACATCTCCTGCACCAACGCTGTGGGAGCAGTGTCAAGCCCTGAGCTTCCCACCGCAGCTCAGAGCCCCTGCCTGGGCATCACCTCGCACTGGGACTCACCACCAGCCTGCATACATGTGGGCCCTCAGAGTCACTCCAGCACTGCTCACAGGAGCCAACAGCTCACTACCACTCCACAAGTCTTCCTTGTGCCTTCCCATCCTACATGGGGCAAGGCTACGGATTCACCCTGGGTGAAAGGACCTTGGCGGGCATGCAGGGCAGGAGTTGTGCTATTCCATGAATCAGACAACCTTTATTAGTAGCAGATGAACAGAATTAACACCTGAGAATTAAAACCAGCTCCTACCCCAAAGCCCAGACTCAGCTGGGGACGGCGCTGTGTTGTCAAAGTCCTGGGGCCCCTATGACACCTTCCTGCCAGGAGCTGCCTCCTGTGCTCCAGCCTTCCCCCCCTGGCCAGCACCCAGAGCTGCCTGAGGCTTCCTTGCCTTGGCTTTACCTCCCTTCTTTGAGGCAGCTTCCTGGGCCTCCTCAGGAACCTTCCCTTTGCTCTTGGCTGCTGGGGCCTTTTTGGGTCTCTTCACCCCAGCAGGGCGGTCAGCACCATCCTCTCGCACACCGCTGGCAGCAGGAGCTGCAGGGGGCTGCAGCCGCCCTTTGCCAGGGGCCCGGTGGGCCTTCACTCCTTGACTCCTGGGCTTCTCCACCGCCGGCTGGGCCTGGAGGGGACAGAGTGCTTCAGGCTGCTGCCATGCCCCATCCCACAGCTTAGGTGCAGTGCTGGCATCCCCTGGCCCCCTCACCCAGCCGTACTCACATCTGCAGGCTTTGCCCTCGGCCTCCTCTTCACTGCTTTCGGCTCCTCCTTGGCAGTGCCTGCAGAAAAGCAGCAGCAGATGAGCACAGGCAGAGCATCTCACCGGAGTCCGCCCCAGACCGCGGCCATTACCTTGCCCTCCGTCGCTCCGCGCCACCGCAGGGGCTCGGGCAGCCTCGGCAGCCCCTCTGCGTCCGGTCTTCGGGGCCGGTCCCTCCCCGGGATCCTCCTGGCCCTGCGCCTGTTTCTGCTGCAGCCTCTTGGGAGCGAGCTGGGAGCAGGGAAGGAGCAGGGAAGGAGCAGAACGTGGGAGCAGCCGGCATCGGCAGCGCCCAACCCCAGCCCCGCTCTTGCAGCCCCGCTCACCTTGAAGCGCCCCGTGGCCCCCAGGGCGGCGGAGTTTTGGGGCCGCACCAGGAAGCCGCGGCTCAGCCCCGTCGCCAGCGCCCGCTTCAGCAGATACTTGAGGCGCACGGGGTCCACCGTGGGGTACTTGGCCAGGATGAAGCGCTTAATGGCGACGACTGAGGCGCCCTTCTTCCCGTCCTGCGCCTGCAGCGCCTCGAGCACCATGTGCAGCGTGGGGGGGTGGCGGCTCCGCCGGCCCCGGGCAAGCAGGCTGGAGAGCCGGGCAGCGCCGGCGGCTTTGGCTGCGAGTGATACAGAACGGCGGCGTGAGGCGAAGGCGCTCACAGCCCCGAGGGCTGCGGTCCTCCAAAACCAAACAGCGTCACCGCGCCCGTTCCCAGAAAAGGGAACCGCGGTGCCCGCACCCTGCAGCCCCGACCTGGTTGGGACTCCATGGCTGCGCAGCTCCCAGACGCCAACCAGGCACCGCAGCCTCAACCCAGCTCTCAGGCCCACCTCACCTGCAGCTGATTTATCTGATTCGGCACGGTGACGGCGAGGGCCGATTGGGTAGCCGCTAATTGCCGGGTTCCCACCGCAGTGGACACAGGTGAGCCCGAGCGCTCCTGCCCAGATCTTTGTGAGAGGCTGAAAGGAGAAAGAAGGCTGCGAGCAGATGGTTGGAAAAGGACGGAGCGGGAGTGGCGGCCGCAGGCACGTGCTGCGAGCTCCTGTAAGCGCTGCGGGCCGCGTGGGGCTCCTGCAGCAGCCGCAGTGTTTGCCCGCGCCTCGCGCGCTGCCGGGCTCAGAGCACGGCGCTCCCGGCCCCGCGCGGCAGCCCTACGTGCCCCTCTGCAGGGCCGGCGCTGCACGGTGCCGTAGGGCTCAGGGTGGCCGAGCCGCATCACCGAGCGGCCACTGAGCACCGCGTGGCTCTGCGGAGCAATGGCTCCACGGGCGGCGACAAACACGCGACCATCCTCCTCTTCCCTCCAAAGCAGCCCTCGGATTTGAAGTACGTGAGTCAGACATCAGCCTAAACACTGAATTATTCATAAACCGTTAATCTTCAGATTTCACTGAATATGCACAAGTATCGATAAAAAAAAAATAATGAGAGAATTGTACTTGCAAATTGCTCTTTATTAAAGATTTAACTTGCATGGGTTCTGTATGTTCCTTATTAGACCTTGCGAAGCTGCATAGGATTAGAAATCAGAGAGGATAATAATGTACAAAAATAGTTTCAAATGTTGATAACGCTGAACAGCAAGAAAAACATCTTATTTGTATAACTGAGCTAAAAATAAAAATGAATAACACTGCTACAATTGCAATATGCCATCTTGTAGTGCCTGGAACATATGCCGGTGTCTCTGCACCATATGCTCCCATGTCTTGCCTTCTCTAACACAGAGGAAGCTCAGCAATGCACCAATCCGTCCTCAAAAGCACGAGCACCAGCCAAAGCCTCCTATGTGGGCTGACGCTGAGCTGGGCCGCAGCTGACAGGGAGGGTCTGTGGATGGCTGGGAGGGAAGGGCTGCGTCCTGCCGGGGGGCAGTGAGTGGGGCTGCCAAGGAGCCAACACCAGGAGCATCCAAGCACGCCCAGCCGTAGCGGGACACAGCTGCACCACGCTGTGCCACCTGCTCAGAGGTGGGATCTGCACCCTCACCTCTGCCGCACGGGGGGCACGTGTGTGCCAAAAGCCACCCATCATCCCAGAGCTGCTGCGGTGTCCTTCTGAGGTGCTGGGCAGGGCTGGGCACGGAGCTCTGAGCAGTGGGTATCCGGCGGTGCTCAGCCTGCCCCAGCACAGCCCCCTGCCCTGGCCCTGCCCTGGTTGGCTGCAGGCTCTGTCTGCAGCAGTGGAGCCGGGAGGGGCTCAGCCTCTGCCCCACTGAGGCCCTCAGGTTGGGGTGAGGGAGGTGGCAGTGGCTCCGCCGTGCCCGGGCTTTGCAGGGCCTGCATGGTGCAACAGGTGTGAGCTCTCAGTGAATCAACAGAGAGAGAAGCACGGAGTTATGCCAGTGGAGGAGCTAAGCTTTTGCATTTTAATTATAAAACGTGTACATTTTCACAGCCTTGTTCCCAGGGTTCCTATGGTTGGGAGAGCAGCCCGCCCCGCAGGGCTGTGCTGAAGCGGGCAGGCGCTGGCAGTGGGCAATGTTGGTGCGTTGGGACCTATGCAGGGGACACCTGGCTGGTGGAGACGGAGGAGGTCTCTGTCTTTCCAGCAGATGTGTCCTCATCGCCCAGCGGGTTCTTGCCGCAGCAGAGGGTTGTGATCATGCAGTTACGGAACTGGAAGAGAGGGGAAGCAGCGTGGTGAGGGTGGAAGGCTGCTGAGGGGCTGCCTGCATGCTGGGCCCAGAGTTGGGGGTGGAGAAAAGTGAGCCTGGTAATGCCATGGGCACTGTCCAGTAGAACTGCTGCAGCAGGAGGAACGCAGGTACACATCCCACACGCTGCAGTGGGAACTGCATGGAACCCTCCAGCATGTCTGCACCAGGGACACTGTCCCGGTGAAGTCTCCCTCCCAGCCCTCAGCATTGGGGGAGGCAGCCCCAGCTGCTCCGCTGGGCCAGCATGCACATTTCTTAGGTGGATGCTTGCATCAGCGAGAGCTGCACAGCGTGAAGGAGTAAGCTGCACTTCACTCTCCTGCACACCAGCACGCAGTACCTGGAATCCCCTTGCGGCTCAGGGTGTGCTGGAGGTATGGGAGCTCCCCACAGCTGTTACAAAGAGAAACACTACAGAGGCAGTCAGCTGGCAGTTACCTGTTTGTTCATTACAATGTAGATCACAGGATTGTAGATGGCAGAGCTCTTGGCAAAGAATGCCGGGATGGTCATGAAGATGGGCCCGAAGTCTGAGCCCTGGTTAGTGAAGATGTAGAAAGCGACGCTGGCGTAGGGAACCCAGCATATGAGGAAGGCGATGACCATGATGATCACCATGCGGGTCACTTCCTTCTCTGCCTTCTGGGTGGTGGCAGACTCCTGCTGCTGGGCGGCAGCCTGCGGGCAGAGAGTGGGGGGGATGGAATCGGGAGGGCTTGGCCCGCGTGGGTGCAGGACTGGAGGGCACCGCTCCCTTCTGTCACCGTATGGAGCCCGGCACAGCCCCCAGCCCCTGGGCAGCACCCACCTCCTTCACAGTGCAGACCAGATTCCCATAGCAGAAGAAGATGACGGCCAGTGGGATCATGAAATGGACCACGAACATGTAGATGACAAAGGATTCATTGTTGATCTCTGGCTTCAGCGTGTAGTAGTCGATCCCACACGAGCACTGCATGCCCTCGGGGATGTACCTGTGAGCACACGGGGCGGTCAGCGCCAGCAGAGCTGCCCGCACCCTGCGCTCCATGCCCAGGCCCCTCCCTACCGTGACCAGCCGAACAGCGGGGGAGCTGCGCAGGCCATGGCCATGATCCAGGAGAACGCGACCCCCATGATGGCGTGGTTCTCTCCAAAGCGGAAGTTGCTCATGGGCTTACAGACCACCACGTACCGTTCCACAGCCAGGACGACGAGTGACCAGAGAGCGATTTCACCTGCACCAGGGAGAGAGGGATGGAGATACGGGGACTGAAAATGATGGGAGGACAAAGGCACGCCATTCCTGGCACGGGGAAGACCCCATCAGCAGCGAACCTCCATCCAGTGCTCAGAGATGGGACAGAACAGAAGACAAGTACCAGTGCGGTGAGGAGTCAGAAGATGCCTGCAGACCCCCAGCGGTGACCGCTGTGCTGCTGCGCCTCGGGATCCACTGCTGGATCCTGCCCTCTTCCCACACAGCACTGCATCCACGTGCCCGCGGCCCCACTCTGATCTGCAGCACTGCCTCCAGGTTCTGCTCAGGTTGTCTGTGCCTCGGGGCCCAACCCCTCCAACAGCTGCCTGCTGGCCAGGGAGGCTGTTCTCAGATGCACAGCCCTAATTTAACACTGCTAATCACCGGCTGGATGGCACAGTGGAGGCAGCTTTGCTGGGCTGCACTGCACTGCACTTCACAGCAGTAACGCTCAGCCCCACAGCTCCAGAAGAAGCCATCAGCTCTCCTGTCAGAAAGCGAGCCAAAAGGATGTGCAAATCCAGCAGCTGCATAATCTGCTGTAGGTTACTTTTCATGGCTACACGGTTGCTCGCAGGAGATGGAACAGGTGGCTACCAAAATAAGGCTTAAAAAAGAAGTGCCATTTGCCACTTTCTTCACCTCCCACCCAGTAGCACTGCAGCAGCAGCAGCAGCAGGGCCTGGCACGCACCGCCCGGCTCTCCAGGAGCAGCTGGGCATCCTCACGCCCTCTCCTGAAATCTGGGGAAATTTCTGTCAGATTTTTGAAAATTTGGAGAACTCACCGCCCAGCGTAGCAAAGAAGCCCTCGATGTAGCACCCCGTTACTCCGAAGACAAAGTACCCGTTCATCGAGGTGTACATGGTGGTCGTGAAGCCTCCAAAGACCATGAAGAGGTCGGCGACCGCCAGGTTCAGGAGAATGTAGTTTAGAGGCGTTCGGAGTTTCTTGTGCTGGATGGTGACGTACAGCGTGAGGAAGTTGACGGGGAAGCCGAGCAGGATCAGCATGAACATGTAGGCAGCCAGCGCCGAGAACTTCCACGGCTCAGCCAGGTAGTACTGGGGGTACTCGAAGGGGCTCCGCACCACCCCGGTCTTGTTGGACATGGGCACGTAGAAGTCTTGGCCTTCCGTCCCGTTCATGGCTGCGGTCTGTGGGGCGCCTCGCAGTCGCACTCAGTGTCAGGTTTTGTGAGGGGGAATCGCCCCTGCAGTTGGGCTCCACCACCGCCCAGCCTTCGCTGTCGCCCCGCAGTGAAGCGGCTGTCGGGCATCCCTTATAAAGTGCCCCCTATGGTAAGCTCCAGGCATCGGTGTCAGCGCGATTAGGGCTAAGAGAGTTATTAACCATAATTATCCAGGGGTAATTGGCTTTTCTGGGCAGGTCTTAAGGTGACACCTGTTTCTGGCCCACACTGTCATTGTTGGAGACCATGGTTCATGGTCATACGCAGGCAGGTAGCTGCACTGGAACTGGAGGGCGGCCCCACCTGCACAGCTCACTCCCCAGCATGCCGTGCCACCGCCTGAGGGCTGAGTGCCTGCTGCCTGGGCCCAACGCACTCATTGCATGCTGCAGCCTGGGCTGGACGCCCGCGGCCTGTGCTGCCTCTGCTCCACGGAGTGCCCCGACAGCCCATCACAGCCTGCGGTGCCCATCAGTTCAAAATGCCTCAGTTTACCCACAGAGGGATGTGGGAAATGGGACATGTTACCACCGGGCCCACAGGCAGAGAGTGCCAGAGAGACAAAGCACGCAGGATCCTTCTTGTGGTTGGGCAAACAGGAGTGAATTTTGTGGTTCAGAACCCCCAGGCCGTGGGTTTGGACACTGCAGCTGCTGCTGGGCTGGACGTGGTTGGTGCAGTCCCTCCATAGCAGGGGTCTGCATAGCAGGACTGCAGGGCTGTGACAGCAGCCTGTCCGTCACAGCTGCCATTACAGGGGTAGGCTGATGAAAGGCTGTGCTTAGCAGCATGGCCCTCAGCAATCCTTCTTGTACTTGCTCTCAGCCACAAAATTTGCTCTCTGTTGCAAAATTTGTCTGAGAAGGTTTGAACAACACAGTAAAGCACTGATCCTGCTAGCAGGTTTCCAGTTGCATCACCTCCTCTGTTCTTGGCTTTATACATGGTTTGCATCATGGCAGCTACATCAGCAGCACCTGAAAAATAACCTCGTCCATCTGTCTTGGACAGATATCGTTCTGCCTTGATCCAGAGAAGGGCTGTGGACAAGGCACAAGATCTGAGCTGAAGCCAACATTTGACCTCTTATTCTGGTGACAGACATCTTCAGTCTCCTTGAAACCTTGCAGAAGTTATGAATTCCATGTAGGTGGGCATTAGAGCTGCAGAGGAAGCTGCTGTTGGATCTGTTTCCCTCCTTGATGTGCCCAGTGTTGTTCGGAACATTCTTCATGCCAGCCAGCAGCTGTTAGGTGTTACCTGGTTTTAACTTTTCAGAAAGAGTGGGACAGCATGAACAGCAAGGGGAACAAATCAGAGCCTACCACAAAGGATCTCTTTGCTGGACAAGGTTATTCTTTATAGTTCACATAATTGTGATTACTCTTTCAGCTTCCAAAGCTATTTGCTCCCATCTCTTCCCTTTTTTGCATCCCCTGTTTATCACTTTTCTCACTATGCTAGTGTTATTCTCAACATCAGTACCATTCCAGTTGGCATGCCAGGACCTACCGGTGTCCCTGCAGAGGTCAGGAAAGGACTGCTCAGCCCTTGGCAGCAGCAGGGCTCTGGCAGGACCTGAGCATCTCCGCAGCAATTGCATTTCAGGCTGCACCAGGGAGCTGGGCTGACCTTTCTTTGCAGCCAAGAGCAGAGGAGAGGTATCTGAGTGCCCATACGGCACAAAGGGGGATGAACCAGGCCTGGAGCTCACAGGTGAGAGATGAGCAAGGGCTTGTGTCACCTTGGCCTTAATTAACCAGCTTCAATTCCTGCCATGTTTTTATCAGTGTTCCCTGCAGGTTAATTCAGTGCATGCAAAACAGATCAAAGGGAAAAAGCAGAAAGCTTTGTGTTCTCTTCAAAGTGAAAACCAAGCAGAGAAACCTTTCCTGTGTGCGGGGAAGATCTCACAGAAGTGCTGCTACCACTGAAAGCCCAGCTTCCCATAACCAAAGGTGGGCCTCAATTGCTCTGCACAGCCATCAAAGTCTCCTTCTGTCAGTGTGCAAATGCCACCTCCTCACACATCCTCGGCAGGTACTAAGTCCCTCCCAATTAACTTTTCATGTGTTGCCAAGGCCGGAGCAGTGCCTCTAGCTAATTGCAGCTGCAGCTGCTCATACCTGTACATGGGCACATCAGATTACAGGTTTATCTTCCCAGTGCACAAACACGCCACGTAAAGCTCTGATGCAATAAGCCCCTGCTGAGGTTAGCAGCTGCTGCTCTGAGCTTAGAGCTGACATGCGTCACCAGGGGAGTGCAGCGGTGGGAAAGGCGAGCGGTGAGCGGTGACAAGGTGGAGGTGCAGGGCAAATGGAAGAGAACAGTTGGTGAACTGCCCAAAAGGGCTTCAGAGAAAGGCTTCGTGGTGGGACTTCTGCACATCCAGCGCCTTCTCATCACGAAGTGACCAGGGAGCTTCAGTTGCACGAGGCATCTGGAACTGGCACATCTTTCCAAGTTACGAGATGGGTGAAGCACCACGGCTTTGCCTGGAAAAGCCCGGCATGCTTTTCAAACCCAGAGCACATTCACAAAAAAATCAAAAATAAATAAATAAACGAAGCTTCCTCGTTTGATCCATTCTGCCTCTGTGTAATTACAAACCATGTCTATTTATTTTTATAATTTTTCATTTCTGCTAGCTCTGCAAAGCCAACTCATTTCTGGGAGAATGAGCTGAATTGCATTCTGGCTCACATACCAAACAGCACTGTTTATCAATGTCAGTCGCAACGTCTTTATTGCAAACACTGAGATTCGAGTCAGAAAGCAGACAAGCACTAATTAGAACAGAATGTTTTTAAAGTGGTAAATTAGGCAAATTTGGTCAGGAACCATTGAGGGATGCAGAAACCCTGCAGTACCATTAGATGGAATCACAGCACGTTGGGCTGGGAGGGACCTCGCAGCCCTCAGCCCTCCCCTTGCCATAGGCTGGCTGCCCCTCCAGCTCAGGCTGCCCAGAGCCGATCCATGGCCTCGGGCACCTCCAGGGATGGGCAGCACTGCCAGGGCCTCATGGCCCTCAGCACTAAAAGACGTCTTCCCAGAAGCTAATTGAAGACCACCATCTTTAACTTCACAGCCTTTACCTTTGTCCTATCACTACGCTCCCTGACAGAGCCCCTCCCAGCTCTTCCGTAGGTCTCCTTTAGGTACTGGGAGGCCACAGTGAGGTCCCTGCAGAGTCTCCTCCAGATCTAACATCCCCAGTTCTCAGCCTGGCTCCAAAGCAGAGGTGCTCCAGCCCCTGGGCATCCTCACAGCTCCTCTGGCCCTGCTCCAACAGCTCCGTGTCCTTCTGACACTGAGGACCCCAGAGCCGAATGCAGCACTGCAGGTGGGCTTCACAGGAGCATAGATTTCAAAGCATCACTTTCCAGAGGAACTCCAGCACACACTGATATCACGTGCAAAGTGCTGCTGTTTACACAGTAGCTGTTTTACCAGCAGCCACCAATCTCAGCCAATAGCTTAACTCAATAACATAAAATATAATTTCCCAAGGCTTATAGAAGAGAGGATGTCATAACAACAGAACTTACGCTGAGGCGGGCACAATTTAAACTGGATTAAAGTCAAGAGGCCTATCACTTTTCCATTCAAACCCGGCCCAGCTGGTTGTCCACATGACTTCTCAAGCTCTTACAGAACAACGCAGAGAACATCTTCAAGAGATTCAGCTGCACAGGGCTGCTTCTGTGTACTGGGCCTGGCCAGAACGGAGTTAACATTCTTCAGAGCAGCCTTCGTGGTGCTGTGTTTTGGATCTGCAACTAAGAACAGTCTTGATAAAATGTCAGTGCTTTAGCTGCTTTGAGCACCGCTGGCAGTGTTGAGGGTTTCTGTTGTTCCCCACTTTGCTTTGCTACCCAGCAATGGGCGGAGGAGGACGAGGAGCTGGGAGGGCACACAGCCAGGACTGCTGACCCAAGGGGTGCTCCATGCCTGACGACATCGCGCTCTTCTTCCCCTGTAACCGTGACTCATTCTGAGGCCTTGTTTTCCAGGAAGCGGCAGGACATCTGCCCGCCGTGGGGAAGTGATGAATACTTTTGTCATTGCTTTGCTGGCAAACACAGCTTTGCTAATGAAACTATCTTTGTGTTGACCCACAAGCTTTTCCACTTGGGCTCTCTGATTCTCTCCTGTTCTGTCAAGGTGGGTGGGAAGTGAGCAAACAACTGCATGGGGGCTTAGCTGCTGCATGGGATGAAACTACTACATTTGGTTAAACAGCCAGGTCATTAAAATCCCCTCAGTCTCAACACTTAGTTGGCAACAGTTAAAAAAAAAAAAATTGGAAGGTAGGTCCAACTCCTCCTACCTTCTTACTTTGCTTCCCATGGCTCTAGCATGAAGAAATGCTGGGAAAATGCTGGTCAGAAATATTTCTTCAGCACATCACCTCTTCCAGCCAGCATGAGGGGCGATGGAGCCGTGCCAGCTCAGACAGGCACGTGTGCCCACACCACCCAGGCACGCTCAGATCACACCACAGGAGCTGAAAGGATGTCAGTATTCCTGAGGTACAGAGGAGGAACCGTGGGAAAGCACTGGCTGTCTATGAGTCCTCAACTTGAACTGATATTCCTGCCTGGCAACTCAATACTTCTCAGCGTGCAAATATATTCATTTTAGCCCAGTAGGTCAGTGGCTTTTCTTTCATTAATGGTAAACACACTGATGTTACTAGAATCAGCAGTGTGTCAGTAGACAGATAAGGAACTTACGTGTGGGTATCTCAGTTAACATGAAATAGAAATTTCCATGCTCAACCTGCTATTTGGATTTTAACAAGCACGAGTTCTGCACAGGTTAAAAGAAATTTTGAGACAAACAGTGCTGAAAAATAGTCCCATTTATTTAATGTTCTGCCAACAACAGGTACATATTAAGGACAAATTTTTAAGTTCTAACACATGTTGGAATAAAAACAATTATGTGGGCTAA